TTTGCCAATTCTTTCAGAGCAGCTTGAACTTTCTCCTTCATCACCACAGGATCTTGCTCATATGTTGTTTCATGAGATGCTTCTGCGTCTGCCAATTTATTTTGGTACAATGACTCTGTATATTATTTCCATTTTGTTTTAATGCTTCCTGAGTGATTTAATATTCTGCCCAAAGCATCTTTAAGTATTGCAACTTGAGGCTTGGATTTGTTCTTCAGTTCCTTCAGCTTAAGAAGTGCTGAGTGAGTTTGGCACCTTTGACTCTTTTACTCCAGCTCTTTGCACATTTCATTATAATACTTAACTTTGTCTTCCATGCTGTCCCTTGAAATCTTTTGTTCAGCTCCTTAATATCTTGATACCTCCTCTTTATTTTGGCTATATTATAGTCAGCAAAAAGGTCTATGCCTTTCATGTGTTCATACCCCATCAACCAAACGAATTGTTTTTTAGGTCGGAACTAATTAATAATGTAATCAGGGTACTGCACCCAACTAAAACTCAATTAACTTTCTTCTCAAGTGCACACGATACATTATCTAAAATTGATCACATATCAGGGCACAAAGCAAGCCTCAACAAATTAAAAAACTTTGAAATAATGCAAAGCATCTTCTCAGACCACAATGTCATAAATCAGAAATTAACTACAGGAGAATAAAGCTTACAAAACTACCCATGTGGAAACTAAGTAACTCTCTGCTAGAACATAAATCTAAACTATAACGCTGTGTATATAACTTTGGATGAGTTTTTATACAATAAATTCTGCCTCAATTCACGACATATACTATTGTGATAGGTTCAGTAGAATATTTCAAGGTAGTAAACTTGTAGTGACAAATATGGCAGCGGTAGCATGTGAAACTGAAATATAAATTATAAGTAAATGAAGAATTATTTTCTCTGTCACAGTGGCTACTTAGGCTCATTGTGACTATGAAGGAGAAGCAATTCCATCCATCTTCTTGCAATTGCTACTCAGTAAGTAGGAAAACGCAATGTGGACATCTTGGTTTTGCTTCAACTCAAACGTCCTTCTATTCCAATAAATTTTCCCTTTCTATGCTCTCTCAAAATGAGAAGTCCAGTTATTAAAAAAATAATCATTGCCTTAGCCTGTTAATGTTGTCCCCTTGATTGTGTCTGTCACTTTGTGACATTTCTTGAGGTCTGGAGTCACATCTGAATCTCTTATTCTTGTATCATTTGGTCTACTGTTTTCTATTCAGTTAATAAATACGTGCTATATTTAAGTCTGGATAGAACACAGAGGACCAGATCAACTACATCTACAGAAAGCTACAGTGGGGTCACTCAACATTAGTAAGAACAAAGCCACAAGCCAGCTGAGGAACATAAATTACTTATATGAAAGTCCAAGTTGAAGCCAAAGAAAATTAAAGCAATCCACAAGATTCAGAGTATGACTTTGAGTATTTCTTACTCACATTTAGAAATCACCTTAACAAAAGGTTTTTTTTTATTTTTGTTGCTTTTAACCCAACTATTCATGCACAGTTTTATAACCTTTATAATAGTTGAACAATGCAAGTGATTACATCTCTTCAAACCCTCACTGTACCTTGTCTTTCCCTTCAATTACCCATCTATCCACCAGTCTCTGCTTCCCTTTCTTCCCTTCCCACCCCTGTCAATCTTGCTGAATTGCTTCTATCTATATGTAAAACTTTCCTTACCTTTCCCCCCTCAATCAATCATGCATGTTTTGTTCCATATTGCTAATTACAATACACACAATGTCTGATAATCTACCCATTTAACATTTTCCTTTTCTTTACTTATTCCAATAAAATGCTCATTATCTATATATTAATTTTCTATTTTCCCTCTCTGCTCACTTATAACCATACTAGATTATCTCCTTATGTAAACCTACCTCTAGTTTTTAAATTACAGTGGTCTTGTTCTTCTACAGAATTCATCCTTTAGTGACTGACTTATTTCATTCATCATAATGTCCTCTAGATTCATCCGTGTTATGTTCTGTTTCACCATTTCTTCATTGTTTTTCAGTGCTGCACTATACCTCATTGTGTGAATGGACCACAGTTTCTCTTTGAATGTTTGAATCTTAATAGTTTTGAGTCTTCAAATATTAATGACACTCTTTTCCTATTCTCCTCCCAACCCCTCATGTCAGTCCTGCTTACAACAGTGGTCTTATGCGGTCTGAGACATTTCACTCAGCATAATGTCTTCCAGGGTCACCCACGCTGTGTAGTGTTTTATGAGTTACTATTTTCCAATGTTGATTAGTATTCAAAAGAATAGATAGATAATTAACACTGTATTGAAACAGATGAGGGAGAGAACTGTTTATAAGGAATATATAATTAGACATTTATAAATAAGACAATAGTTCACAATTAGAGGTACATTGCAAAGACTGAGGGAGGGAGAAGGGAGGAAATTGTGCAACAATAAAAGAATATTTTTTAGAGAAAGAAGTGAACTGGGGGAGGAGCAAGCAAGGAGGAGGGAAGAAACTGTGCAACAAGGAATGAATGAAAACCCAACTTTTCTGTAAACTTTTGTTAAAATCACAATTAAAATTACAAAAACAGAAACATTAATGACAGAAAAGATGTTACAGAATGACATCAAGAAAGCCATATATAAAGAAAGCCGAAGGTTATCATTATACAGGCAGAAAGGAAAAGATCAAAGTGGATGTCAGTGGAGACTTAAAATGCTCATCAATGTAGGATAGTTAAAACAAAAGGAAGCAATGAATAAGAGGTTTGAAAAGGCAGTTTGAGATGAAATTATATTCTACTGAAATGTGCAAAGACTTGGAATTAGAACACAAACTGAAATATATACTCCTGGATTTTTTTTTAAAAATTAAATTTTATTTTAATTGTGATTGTAACATCTGGAATTTCTTAATCTGGGAAAGCTGAAAAAAATTCAGTATTCTTGATACAAGATCAAGTGATTCTATGGGTAAAATATTTCATACATAAGAGTTGAAAGAAGATGAAAGGAAAATAGAATCACTGTATCAGAAAGAAGGGATTTATGGCCAACCATTTCATAAGGGAGCTTTTTCTTAACAATGGAGAGTACTGATGCAAAAGTCCAAACTGCCCTGAAGGCCTGAGGGATAAAATGTTCCAGCGATTGACCAAGTGAATAAGTTTCAACAAACAGATGTAAAGCTGGAAGTGTTAATGCGCCTGTATCAAGAAATTCGGAAGACAGTTACTTGGCAAACCAGCAGGAAGAGGGCCTTCTTTATTGTCATTTTATAGAAAGACAGTCTAAAATGATGTGGAAATCATAAGCAGCATTATTAATATTTTTTTACAAATATTTTTTAGGTAGTTACAATTTAACTATTGTTGCAGAGTACATCAAAGGAAACTGTCAGAAATGTAAGCTGAATTCAGAAAAGGACACAGATGGAAGTCTTATCAGTGGTGTTGTCAGAAGGGCTTTAATCTGTTGTATCCCCAGGTATGCTTAGGTAAAAGCAGACTGTGAATTCTTTCCACACAAAGCCTCCAATCTACTTTTAACAGAAGATGGACACTCACATTATACTTAAGGATATAAACCAATGGGGGAACAGATGTCTGATGGAAAGTTTAAAGGAACAAGGTTGAGTAATTGCAGTTACTCTTTTAAAGAGAGAAGGAACCACCACCCCCAACATAATGATTATGCTCTTTGCTGATAACTGAGTCAGTGGTTCAAACCCACCAGGGGTGCAGGAGACATGTGGCAATCGGTACTGTTAAGATTATTATACTGAACACATTACAGTATCCAGACTGTACTCACAGTGATGAGTACTAGGTTTCTTCTCTCTTTAAGATGGGGAAATACCTTCTGTGTGATTTATGCCTCTGAAAACCCAATGAAGGGTCAGTTAATGAATTGGTTTTGATATAGTGGCTATGTGTGTGTGTTGTGTGTGTTATGAGAAAGGTTGGTGGGTTTGAATCTTTCCATGAGCAGTCAAATGCTATAATCACTATGCAACTGGGGCTCCTTCTGTACGTTATGAGACAGTTCTCTGCTCTGTAGGATCACTGTGAGATCCCTAAGAAGTAAAATACAGTGAATGACAATATTAAAGACAGGAATTCTTTTCATCATTATTCTCCCAATTTGGTTAACTGTAGTCAACCCTTATTTGGTCCAGAGTCCAAGGTTAAGAGCAGCATATTCTTATACAAGCCAAAAGTATAACATGTGTTTCTTGACTGTCAATCAGCAATAATATCTGACTTGCTGATTTCCCTGAGGATCATTTTGAAGATGACATGAGATGAAGTTTACACCTGTACAACCAAACTGGCTACCAAGCTGATTCTAACTTAAGGTGAGTCTAGGTATTTGAGTAGAAATGTGTCCCAAAGCACTTTTAATGGATAATTTTTTTGAAAATAGATCATTTAGGCCTTTCTTCTGAGGTGCTCTTTGGTGGACTAGAACCTTGAACCACTAACCTTTGGGTGAGGAGTCAAGTGCATTAGTGCATTAATCTTATGCACCATGCAGGAACTCCAAAACAAACAAGTGCTAGTGAAGGGTAGAGCCACAGTTCATGCAAAGGACCAAGTTCTAGTATTCTCAAGAATCCTGCACCACTCTGAATCAACTGAGCCACAGCCACAGGTTAGAAGCCAGTCAAAGCGGAAGCAGAACACAGCTATAATTTTAAAATATGCTTTTCAGGTTTATGAACCACTTTCCATCTATTATTTCCTTTGATCAATACAGCAACTTTCTTTAGAGAAAGAGACATTAACTTCTTTTCATTTCTTGGAGGAAAAGACAAATAATTTCAGATGTGAATAATCTCACTATGGGCTACATCACAAGAAACACCAGAAATGGGATTTAGATTCCGTTTCTTCTCAGTCCATTTTCTGTGATCGATCTTTTCTCAGAGGCACTTCTGTTTCCTCACGTCTGAGCATTCTCTGTTGTTCACAGGACACATTCCATGCTTTTCTTCAGCAGGATCACACCCGAGGAACAGCACAGATGCGATGACTGACAGGCGAGAAGATGATGCCTAGTCTGAAATCCAGGCTCAGCTTCTCACTGGCTGGGGGCTTGAAGGTGAATTTTTGCAAAAGAGAAGTGAAGAAAATAAACAACTCAACCCTGGCCAGCTGCTCTCCGAGGCAAACCCGTTTTCCTGAAAAATAAAAACATGAGACTCTGGTGGAGGAGGTGCCTGGCAGGGATGGAGATCCTTCCCTCCATCCTGCTGAACAGAAGCAGAATCAGGACCTGCATTTCCTCTAAGAAGCTTTATTTACAGAGGATCATTTATGCGTGTCCACCACTTGAATGACCTGAGATACCGAGTAAGTCCTCATCATGGACTCAAATGCTTCTAAGAGTCAGGCAGGGGAAGCACGAGAGTGAACTAGCAGGGAGTTGAACAATGAGGCCTGAGCTTTCTACCAAAGGTTTCCTTCTAGCATAAAGGCTTTCAAATAGTAACAAACAACAACAACAAAAGCAGTAAACAAAACAATAAAATATACCTTTAGAAATGAATGTCATGTTAGTTCAGGTCTTTCATGCAAAGGTCACTATGAGTCATATTCAATTTGACAACACTTAATCACTACTAAGTGAGACTAGTGTTGTTATAGCTGGCGGAACATTATTCCACGTTGTATATCACTCTTTGTCAACGTGCTGTATGAAATAACCTGGGTTTGCTGTGATGCTGAACCTTGTGCCATTTGTGTATCAAATACCATAATGGTTTCCCAATGTGGACAGTGTTTGGTGGAGCTCCCAGTTGTAAAACAGGTTTGGAAGCAGGAGTGGCGTCCACTTCGTAAACCACATGCCTCTGGAAACTCTATGACCTTGGAGAAATGATGATAGTTATGACAAGTCATTAGGTCTTTTGTTCTTACAATTGCTGTGAGTCATGCTTGACTTGGCGGCAATCAACAAAAACAAATGAATGTCAGAGCTAGGGTTCTAAAGTTCAAGGCATCTCCACGGGGTGGATAGTATCATAGTGTAGCCTCAATATTTATGTTTCTCCTAGAAACTCAGCATGGGACATCTTTTTGTAAAAGAGTCATTGCAGATATAGTTAGTGAAGATAAGATCATACTGTAGTAAGGTGGGTCATGGATTCAATGACTGGCATACTTGTAAGGTAGATTCACAATTGAAAATGTCCTGTCATGACAGAAACTGAAGTGCCAAGGACTGTAGAAGTTAGAACACACCATGCAGCAGACTCTTCCTGGAGGCTTCCAGAAGAAAAGAGCCTTGCCTATGGACTTCTAACTGCCAAAATGTGAGAAAATAAAACGGTGTTGTTTCACACCACACAGTTCTTTATACTTTGCCAAGGTATTCCAAGAAAAAGAATACAGCAACCTTCCTCATTATTAAAAACATAAACTTAATTTTCTTGGATCTTATTGAAATGAACGGTTTTCTCCACAAGGTAAACAACCTTCCTGGCTTTCATACCATCCCTATACACAGAAGTCTTTCTCAAACAAGGGCCTATGCTTCTAATGTAGAGCCCAAGAATGAACTTTCTTTTTACAGATCACACACAGGGCATTGCCCTCTACCCATGATCGTAAACAAAACCTTGTTCTACCCCCCTACATATCTCTTCATTATAAACAAGTTCAAGTTCAGCATGAGGTGAGAGGTAGCCTTAAAATGAAATTAGTTTGCAGTTCTGTGAAGATGGAAGATTTCAAAATCTCCTTTTAAGCAAGATGTAAGGTGCAGGTAAATAAAGTGTGAGTGGGGATATCAGAAAAAAGTGAAGCTGAAATCACCATCAAAGGCAAGGAATATTTGAAAGCAATTTCTTTACCAGGGATTTGCACTTTGCCACTTAGTAAAATGGAGTCATGTTGGGTGGGACCATCTGGAGACATTCCAACTACAGCAAAGAACTACCTCTGATGGCCTAGTGGCACGAAGCTGTACTGGAATCTCAAAGGCCTGTGGTTTGAATCCACTAGCTGCTCCGTGGGAGAAGGATAAGGATGGGAAACATCCCCCCCTTTTGATTTATTGTTTCTGAAGATCTGCTGGAAGGTCAGCTATGGGTCAGTTCTGACTTGATGGTACACAACAACAATAACAAAGAGCAGAAGGAGCAGATATGAGAGGAACTTCCTTTTTTATTACAACTCACCTATTGAAAATGGTAGAAAGGCTTCCCTTTTCTTAAACTGTCCATTCTCCAGGAAGTGCTCTGGATTGAAGGTGTCAGGGGTGGCCCACTCCTTGGGGTCCCTGTGCAGTGCAGTCAGATTGGTTATGATTGTAGTCCCCTAGAGAAACCAGTAAAGACTCAGGCAAGGCTTGATCCATATAAGACAACTATACCTTTCAGTTAGCCAACCGGCACTCAACTCACTATGTCACCAGGTTTCAAAATGAGGAGAAAACAAAGGAAGAGGGGTGAGGAAAGAGGTGTAGTTTCTAGAGAGGACACTAGAGCATACAGTGGAACTATCTACAGAAATCCCAAGATCCTGGCAAAGTGGGATCAGAATATCTTTGTGAAGATTGGGGAATTTACCATGAACCTGCTTCTAGAAATGGCCCACTTTAAAAATTTCGTTGCAATGGTGTAATTAATAGATGATTGAGAAGATGCTACAGAACTGAGCAGTGTTTCATCTGCTTGTACAAGAGTCCATCCCGAATCTGGGACTGACACTATGGCAGTTACACTAGCAACTATGGGGGAATATTCCAAATAAAACCAAATCAACTGCCATGTAGTCCATTAGGACTCATGGTGATACTCTATTGAGTTTTCCAAGCTGGTGGGTTAAACTGTTAATGTTTCAGTCAGTAGCCTAACAATTCCAATTCTAAAGTCAAAGAAAAGCAACTCTTGTGAAGGGACCAGAGCTCAGCCAAAACAGATAAGCTTTTAAATCAACATAGAGCTGTTTCTGATCTCAGTTTTGAAAACTATTAGGAAAAGTACTTAATTTTTCTGCAACTTCTCAATCTAAAATTAATGTGTTAAAAAAAGAGTGGTTCTTAGAACTGAGTGAGACATTTTGAAAGAAGCTCAACAGTCGACAGTACAGTTGTTACTTGATAAACTGGTAGTAACTGAGATGAGATGAACTGACAGAACTTGAATCTGGGTCTCCTACCTGGAAACTGAGAATTCTACCAGCGTCATATAGCGAAAATCTCTGAGACCAAAACAGCAAGGAAAAGTCAATCACTGTCTGACTGACGGTTCAGCCTTTGTCTCAAGGGCTCCACACTTGTCTTTGACTCAAGGGCTCTGGCCCTGGCTCCTTCTCATTCATTCAGCAGTAAGATACAGCCTCTCAATTACCCAGGCAGCCTCTCTGCTTTTCCATCAATAGCAAGATACCTCTGGTACAGGAAGCTGTGGCCCTGAAAGCTGCAAGCTGATTTCCTTACTTTTTCCTGGTGTTGAGGTCCCAAATTTCTGCCTCTGAATTAGCTCAATTTAATAGTGAGACTAGCCAATCTTTCTGTGGATAGACTAACATGTACTATGAGGAAGAAATGGCTTCTGCAGCTCCTGCATGTGGGCCGCTTGCCCCTAGAGTAACTGGATTGGATTAACATGTTTCCAGACCAGACAGAGTTGAGGCAGCTAGATAAGCAATGGTCTAAGAAAGCCATCTATGTAATAGAAATTCATAGCAATCCACCCACTATCCCACAACCACTAATATTTAGTTGTGTCAATATTCTCTCACCATGAATGTGGGTAAAATAATATCATGTACAATATATACCTCCCCATTTATACCGGATACGATAGAAATATATATATCACTTTTCCAGTTCAGATTCCTATTTTTCAAAAAGATGAGCTTAAAGATCTGAGGCTGAGAGTCCCTAAGTACCTTTGGCAGGTAGTATCCAGCCACAGTGGTATCAAATGCCACTTCTCTGGGCAGGTTCATGGGGACAATGTTGCCCATTCTTTGCACCTCATGGATGACAGCATTAGTGTAGGGCATTTGGTCTCTGTTGGCCATGCTGGGTTGCTGGGACTGGCCAAGTACTTTGTCGATTTCAGCTTGTACTTTCTCTGCAAAAAAGAAGGTTTTAAAAATACTTATGCTTTCTTCAAAATGTGCAGAGATTATTTTAAAAAATTAATATCATTTTAATTATTGATCAGGCTAAAAAAAATGCTGACACAACCATGCTGGCTGAAACTGAGGAGGACCTGAAGTACTTGTTGTGGAAGATCAGAGACTGCAGTCTTCAGTATCGATTGAGGCTCAATAGAAAAAAAAAACAAAACAACAACCAAAGATTCTCAACCACTAGGCCTTTTGGCGGCAGCATCATGATGGATGGTGAAGAAATTGAGATTGTTCACAGTTTTAGTTTGCTTGGCTCCACAGTCAATACTACTGGCACCAGTAGCCAGGAAATTAAAAGACATATTGCCATGGGAAAGATTGCGGTTAGAGGCCTCTCTAAAGTGGTGAAGAGCAACGATGTCAGTCTGGAGACCAAGGTGCACCTGATACATGCCATGATCTTT